ACATGTGTAAATACCAAATAGTTTCTCTAGTGTGAGAAACTGAAAGTGTAAATAAGGATTAAAATGAATAATTGATAATTTGAAATAGGAAGTAAAGGTCTCAAGGAGTAGGGAAAGTGGGAGGGGAAAGGAAAGAAGGGAAAGGAAAAATTATGAGAAAAGGAAAAAATGGAAACAAAGTATGTAAATAGGGAAGGGAGCACAGGTGAAGGGGAAAAAATAAGAACCAAGATACATCATGTAAAGGTACAAGTACCCAATGATAAATGTAAATGTACTGTATACCTAAAATGTACCAATAAAAGAATTTAAGAAAAATAAATAAATAAAAATAATAAATGGCCACCATAACAGTGGTTAACAGCACAGGCTCTGGAGCCCAACATTACAGGCTGGAATCCAGGCCTTACTGAGGTAGGATAGAAGAAAGAAGTAGCCAAAAAGAAGACAAGGAAATTGGGATTTGAAAATTGTACTTTGAAGAGAAACTGCAGCTTTGGGACACAAAAGTTACTCAAGCCCCTTTTCCTTCCAGAAAACTCATCGAAAAATAATTCCTAAAGGACTTAAAGACACAATATAGCTATAGATTGGGCTCTGGGCCTTTTTCACCTGTAAATTGTGCTTCCTTCATCCTCGGGGAAGCAGCAATATTAGCAGGCAGCATATCTCACTGCAAACACATGTGAATGGCTTGCACTCTGACACTGGCCACAGGGGCCAGTAGGAATACACATCCTAGATCACACATCTTGAAGACACGCCTAAGCTCTGGCTCACACCACACCTCTCTCTCTTGAGGGCCCACACCCTATTTCTTTGAGTGTGATTTCTGCCTGAGAAAACCTTTCCCATGCCTCTCACTGACTAGTCCTGAAAATTCAAGCTAAGAGTCTGTGAAACACCAGTCTATGTTTAGTGAGGGTTAAGTTCTTCATCTCAGCTTTGGGAATCTCTCAGCCCCAGTCCAATCAGAGAAAATAACTCCCAACCTGTTAGATTCCGATGTGCTAAATTCCTGGCCTCACAACATCGAGGATGAACCAAAGGAGGAAGTAGGAGAGTTTCATTGGAAATAAGAATAGCTCCTGGATTTTCAGGAGGGGTCCCAATGGATGGTCACTAAGACTCTTTGTTAAGAGTATTTTATACAGCAAAATCACATCGTGGGTACAACATGGGTCAAACTTCAATTAACTTATGGGATTATAAGTATAGTGGCTTAGCCAATATTAACAAGGGAACCAAGTCACGTAGCAAGGGTACATGGAAAGAACAAAGGCACTCCCAGAAATGGATTGGAGCATGAGTCCAGATGTGCTGGTCATCCACCTATGCATCTGATGCCTAGCTGGGCTCACTGGACCAGGCAGTGCTAATTACAGTATCATCTCCAGTTGCTGTTTATCTCTAGGGAGGCTTGCAGGCCTGGCTATTGCATCTCCATCTTGGGGCCTGGCTCTCTTCAGATTCGCCTCCAGCCACAATCTTGGTGACTTCTTCACAGAAATGATCTCTCTCTGGCAGCCTACTAATTTCTAACTTAACTGTCTATACTATGGTGACATTATCACTTACTAGCAGGAGCCTGGCCAGAGGCCTGAATTTGTCCCAGACTATCTAGATTCACTCACCATTTGCCATCAGGCATATGAGAAAACACCTGCATGTGCTGGTGCAGGCCTGTAATCCCAGCTATTTGCGAGGCTGAGACAAGGGCATCATGTGTTCCAGGACATCCTGGGCTACAGAGTGAGATCCTGTCTCAAAAGGGGGAGAGGGGGAGAAAGGGTACGAGAAACGCCTATAAAAACGGGGAAAAAATGAGTCTATAATTGGGCGGGCAGCCACTCTCCTCTATTGCACAGCAGCACTTTTAATTACAACAAGGAGAACAAAACCCTGTAAGTCTGGTTCTGTTCGAACTTCCCAGGCGCCAGGGCTGGGGGTGGAAGTTTCACTCTCAACACGAGGGAGCAAGAGAAATAGCTCTAAAAACCCTAATTTTCAAAGCTCTCTTTAAACTTCCAGCTTTCACCTGGGTGAGTTATTTAACTGCTGTAGATGATGAGTTCGGACACCCACCTGCAGAGGAGTCCTGGCCTAGGCTGGTCACCGCAGTAACCTGAGGCACGTCACAGCCGCCAAAACTTCGGCCCCGGCTGCCAGCCTTTCCGGCGCCTGGGAGGGCAACTAGGGCCCCACACGCAGGCGCAACCGAGACAAGTGGGCGTGACCACTGGGCGCTGCGAGGGGTGGTTCCGCGCCGGCGCAGGCGTGCTGTCATGGCGGTAGCTTGAGTCCGCGGCGAGGCTCTGGGTTAATCCAGGGTCGCGGCGGGTAAGCCCCTGGGAGAAACTGCGGGACGGGTTAAAGTACTGGAAGCCTTCTAGCACCGAACCTGGTTTTGAGATCCGGGCTGCCACAAACCTAAAGCCTAAATCCCAATCCCGTCTGAGCCTCAGTTTCTCCTTCTCCACGAGAATTTCGGGAAAGGGTTTTGTGATCCAGGCAGCCGCCCTCCTGGCGTCGGATTAAGCCTTGACTCCCTTTTGAGAGAGTAGTGCTTATCCCACAAGGGTGAGGTTCAGGGAGGCGGCGAGGCAGAAGGATCTGCTGTGGGGAAGGAGTCCCTAAAACCGACTCTGCGCGCAGTGGCCAGGCCAGCCTTTTCCCTACATCCCTGGGCCTCCAGCTTGCTAGTCTTCACACGTCTTCTCCCATCACATCATCTGCCCACGGAAGCATCATGGAATCGCACGGTTCCTCATTGCTCAGTGAGTGGGTAGCACCTGGCAGAAAGACAGGAAAGAGGGGAGCCGTTTCAACCCCCTAGTCCCAGCAAACTGCATTTTGGGACACAGGAGACCCATAGAGGAGGGAGTCCAACCCCCACAGTCTTAGAAAAGCCCAGGATACCTGTCAGCTCAACCTTAGGAATGAGCCTGCAGCCGAGGGAGGGAGCGCTGTTTCCTGTCTTAAATATGGGTCTGCTTTTTTTTTAGCTCTGCCCAGCAAAGAGAGGAGCCCCAGAATCCACCCAGCCCCAGCATTCCCAGACGAAGACTGAGTCACTGTCGCAAAGTAGGGGAACTGACCACCGCCTTGACCCTTCTTCCCAGCACACTCCTTAACAATTATATTGCTGTAATGATAGTGCTTATTGTTGTTATTTATTGAGTGTTTATTATGGCTTGAGCCCTGAAAGTGATCAAGTGATCACTGTCTGGTTTCTTGCTCACACAAGCCCTGAGATGGTAACAGAAGGGCCTCCTAGGTAGCTGATTCTGGAGAAAGCCCCTTAAAGAGAATCCACTTGACCTGAATTCATTTCCTGGAAGGCCAGGGTATTTGGAATTTTAAATTTGAAAGTTGAACTAAAAATTAAGAATATGAACTTCTTTTCTGTTTTTATAGTATTTAAGTCAGTTTGGTGTATGACATGTTAATTTTTGGAACGAGCAGAGGATGTTCATTTTCTAGAATGTAATTTTTCTGGCAAAATTATACCATAGCAATAAATGGTATTCGATTCATGTTTGACTTGCACAGTAGCAGAGAGGAAATTTTCTTTCCCAAAAAAACTATAGGCAAGGGCCGGGGATTTAGCTCAGTGGTTCCGTCGCCTGCCTCGAAAGCGCAAGGACCCAAGTTTGATCCCCGGTACCTTAAAAAAAAAACTATAGGCAGGAATTCTCTGTTTTTGGCCGGAACATCTCTCAGTCCTGGGAGAGCTCAAATTCAGGCACTCCTGGAGTCTGAGGCAAGAGAATCAAAAGTTCAAGCCCAGCATGGGCAATTTAGTGACTTAGTGAGACCCTGTCTCAAAAAAAAAAAAAACGGAGGGAAGGACCAGGTTGGCTGGTTCACTGTAGTTAAATGGTGGATTTCCTCCTCCTGGATCCAATCTGATTTTGCCAGTGGTCTTTGGCTAAAAGTTGAGCATTTCTCCATCACTTTCATTCACAGTGAAATCCATTGATTTCCTAGATTCACTTACAGTACTGAGTAAGAAAGCCAGCATAGAGACCAGTTTCAGAAGAGGTGTTCTTTTCCCAAAATTCTGTGTTGGGACCACTTTTGGTCCTTTATGGAAAGCAGGTAAATGCGGGAAATCCAGTTGTGTGTTCTGGGATCATGAGGACATCTGGGTTATGGTGATCCCATTTTCCAGTTAATAAATGGAGGCCTGAGAGGTTTCATGACATAGCATTGGCCGGAGTAAGAATATGCCTGAAGAAACAGGGCCAAAGAGGTGAAGGTCATATAGTTAGCAGGTAAGGGACCAGGATTTATGTCTCACTTGCCCAGCTTCAGAGCCCACCCAGCTGCTGCTGTGTGGTGCCTTTTGATGAAGTAGAACATTTTGTTGGTGGGAAATCCTTCCTATTTTTGACCAATTTACCTCAGGCATGGTTTTCCAAATTCTAGTTAATTGTCAGGTCACCTTCATAATTTTTCTATGTCTATATATCACCTGCCCAGTGAAGCCCTTAATTGCTTTTCCTTTAAATCCACTCACTTTTTTAATAGGAAAACTTAAAACAACCAATGATATGTTGAAGGTGATGTCAACTTCTAGAATAAAAAAAGTCTAAGGGGCCATAACAACTAAATGCAAAGCATAAATCATGGTTGGATTCTGGTTTGAAAAATAGCAGTGAAAGACATTTGGGAGACATGGAGAAAATTTACTGTGACCTGAATTTTTGGTGATATTTGGGAATCCTTGTCTTAGGTCTGCAAATGGTCGTATGGTTATACAGGAAAATGTTCTCGGGAAGCAGACACTAAAGAAGAATTTAGGGGTCATGTTGTAATGTGTGTAGTGGGTGCTCAGGGAATTCAAAGAGGAAAATCCCAGACAGATACACAGACATGACAGACAGGGCAAAAGTGTAGCAAAATGATGATCGCTGAATCTAGATGCTTTTTCTCTTTCTTACCTGTTAGAAAATTTTCATAATAAAATTGGAGGAGGAGGGGCCCGGGATTTAGCTCAGTGGTTTCGCTGCCTGCTGTGCAAGTGCAAGGACCCAAGTTCGATCCCTGGTACCAAAAACAAAAAAAATTGGAGGAGAAAAAAAGACAAAAGCAACTGTATCACTATTTATGAATCACTATTTATAAAACTCAGATCAGTTGCTATAAATAGAAGGTTACTATGAAAATGAATACACTACAAACAAAATATCAGTTGAATTCTGGCTAAATTCTTTTCCTTTGCCAAAGCCCGGAGACTTTCTCCTTAACAAATACTGAAAGGGGATGGACAAGGAAAGCGCTTTCTCCTTGGTGGTGATAAGGGTCAGCCTCCTGGTAGGCAGTGTTCCCCTCGGAGCCCTGCTGCCCTGAGGGCCTGTCCTCGCCTCTCAGGTGCCCCTGGCCGAGGAGTAATGCGGACCTGGCCATGGATGAGGTCACCTTCAGGAGCGGCACCGTACTGTCTGACGTCCACCTCTACACCCCAAACCAGAGACACCTCATGGTGCGGCTGAACGGCGCGGGGCAGCCTGGTAAGGTCCTAGCATGGTGCGGTAGCTAAGCACCCTGGATATCCCATTTTATTCTCTGCATTCTCATACGTATCCTCTTAGTAAAACATTGGGAAGACTGGATTGTTTATCTATTATCCTTGTACTACTCAAATGCCCTTCCTTCACTGAGCACAACCTTATGTTTCCTGAGCACCTACTATGTGCCTAGGACCTGATGCTGGGAATGCAGGAATGAATGAACCCAGCTCTGCCTTCAGTGAACTCACAGTCCTGTGGAGAAAGTGAGCTCCATCTCATGTCAAATCTGAGTAGCTGGGGGCCATGGTGTATATTTATAACCCCAGCTACTTGGGAGGCTGAGGCAGGAGGATTACAACTTTAAGGCCAGCCTGGGAAACTTAGTGAGGCCCTCTCCTAAAAAAAAGTCGGGGCCATGGATTTAGCTCAGTGGTTCTGCCACCTGCCTCGCAAGCGGAAGGACCTGAGTTAGATCCCCAGTACGGAGAGAAAAAAAAAAAAGTCAAGGTGCAGGGAGCAGAAGAAAGAGAGGGTTGAAAACACAGGTATGGAGTGCCTACTCTGAGCTAGGTGCTTTCTACTTATACCATCGTAGCCTTAGATAACAGGGGTAGACACTCATTCTTGTCATGCAAGTAAGGAGGCTGGGACTCAGAGCAGAGAAATGACTTGCCCAGGTTCAGACATAGATGGTAGGTCTGCAGTGCTGCTGGCTCTGAAGTCCTTGCTACCCCTGCCTCTAGCCTGCTTTCTTAGCACATATATTCTTTTTTTTTTTTTTTTTGTACTGGGGATTGAACCCAGGACCTTCACACTGAGCTATATCCCCAGCTCCTTTTCTACTTTTTATTTTGAAATAGGATCTCACTAAGTTGCCCAGGCTGGACCTCAAACTTGTGATCCTCCCGCCTCAGCCTCCCAGAGTGCTGGGGTTACAGGCATGCACCACTGTGCCTGGCACGTGTATTCTCACTGAAACCTGTCCCAGTGACTTTCTGGCCACCAGATGGTGAGGGACCCTATATTCCTTGTACGTCCTCCAGACCTTAAGAGGCGGAGTGTAGCAAGAAAGACATCAGCCAGAGGTGAGCAGTCTGTATTTGAATCCTGCCTCAGCCGTAGATGTGGCCATGCAATGTTGTTCAGCTCCCCCACCTCTCAGCCTCAGTTTCTGTATCTGTGAAAAGGAGCAGATAATGCCGTGTCCACGGTGATTGTGAGGCTTAAACAAGAAGAGTGGGCTGTGTGCTTGGATGCATGGATGGGTAGATGGATGAGCGCCTGCGTTTTAGTGCTTGTGTCATAGATGCTCACGAGGCTGCGCCCATTGCTGGTTCTGACTGCTCCGGTGGCCCCCACAGCCCAAGCCAGCAGTCCCTGCAAAATTAAATGGGCCTTTTCTGCTGATGTTAGGGTATCTCCACCTGGCCTTTAAAAGTCTCTCCATTTGGTAATCAGATTTTTCAAAGAAGGAGAGGAAATAAAGAAAAGACACTTCGAGAGCTGGGGATTTAGCTGTGGTGCCATGCCTGCCTCACAAGCGCAAGGGCCTGATTTCAATCCCTGGTACCAAAAAAAAGAAAAAGAAAAGACACTTTGGAGTTATTCTATGTCTTGTCTTGCCTTTCAGTTTTCCAGTCTCAGTTCAAGCTTCTATGGAGCCAGGACTCTCAAATGGACTCGGGGGCTGAGGGCGGCGGTTACAGACATGTGCACACACAGGAGAGCCCTCCTGCTGGGCCAAGTGGCCCAGGGTCTCCTCCCGGAAGTGGTTACAGTCTTGAGGGTTTCTCCGTCCAGGCCAGGGCTGACAGCACTGGCCAGGAAGGGGCATGTGCTCAGCTGGACGAGGATGGTGATTTGGACGTCGTGAGAAGACCACGGGCTGCCTCTGATACTGACCCTGCAGAGCCTCAGAGAGACAAGGTACATCCCACGATTCTAACACAGGAAGAAGAGGACTTCCTAGAAGCCAGAGCACCAGAGAGCTGCCCCCAGAGTATCATCAAAATAGGTAAAGGAAGACCTGGCTCTCCTACCCTCCAGGCGGCCCATGTATCCATCAGCACTAGCATGTACTGCATGTCAGCTCAGTGGTCAGGCCCAGGCCAGGACAGCATGAGCATGAGTATCAGCTCTGGTGAAGGTGGAGCAAGTGGTGCCACTACCAGCAGAGTACTTTCCAGAACACATAGGTCACGCTTGCTCAAGACTCCTCTGGGGCTCCCCATTGCCCTTGGGATAGAGTCCGAATGACTCACTTATGAGGCTGTGCAAGACATGGCCTCTGCTTCTCTCTCCAGCATCGAGCCTCACGCTCTTCCCTGTGCCTCGGCTGGGCTTGCCCCTTTCCCAGGATGCCTGCCACTGGCCTTTGCTTTCTTAGCACATTTCCTCCTATTGCTCAGGTCCCAGCTCAACTGTCACCTCCTCCAGGAAGGCTCTGCTGCTGCCTTCCGCATCCCTGCTGTGCCCTAACTCGGTTTGCTGGGAGTGTGGGCCAGGCTGGGCTGTGTGGAAGACTTGGCCAGGCTGGGTGGGCAACAGGAAACCCTGGGCGGATCCCGAGATCGAGTGTGGGAGATGGCAATCTACAGGAGCCAGGAAGAAGGGGAGGAGGTAAGGCTGGGCCAAGAACACTGCTGCCCAGGTGCAGGGGCAGAATGGAGTTTCAAATCTAGGGCCCTGGTACCCTGGAAACTCCAAAGATGGTGAGCAGTGAGGACAGGAAGGCCTGCACTGGTGAAGCACCTGTTGCATGATTTACCAGCATGGTCTCCCGTGGACTCCGCACACCACCAGAGGTCACACAGGCGAGGAGGTCGGAAGCCATGTGGTCCATCCTGCCACCCAGCACTCAGAGAGACCTCGGATCTGAATGTGTTCATTGAGATCCAGGGTCACTAGTGGGGTATAGGGGCCAGTGAAAGGGCCCAGCCCTGGCCAGGGTGGGGCATGTGGGTCAGAGGTCATGTTCACAAACGGACAGACAGACCAGCCGCTCTGACATCTGTCTGCCCATCAGTTACTGAGCTCTGCTCACTACCAGGCAGTTTCTGTTCTAGAGTGTTCAGTGGGGATGACAGAGTCCACACTGGAACGCTGCTCCGTGTTTTCCGTGGGTTTTTCCTGGTCTTTGTGGCCTCTGCAGGAGGGATGCATATTCCCTCTTCACAGAGGAGAGGACTGAGCCTCCAAGAGGTTGAGAAACTTGCCCAGGGTCACCCAGGTGGTCAGCTACACGTTCTACATCCTGCAGGCTGAGAGCAGAGATCTCTGGGAAGGGGCCAGTGGGTGGCAGCTGCCCCGCCCGCCCTTTGCTGTGCTGGTGCAAGTTCACCTCGTTCTCAGCTCACGTTGATCCTGGCTGTCTGCAGGGAGAGCATTAGGTAGCCAAATTCCTGTACTTGAGTGATGACCTCTAATGGTTTTATCCTGCACCGTCAGTGCAAAACTTGATGCTGAGCTCTGGGCTTGGGTATCCAGCAGGGCTCATCTTTTGGCCCCATCTCCACCCCCCACAAGCCAAGCGACATTGGACATGGTGCCGCCCACCCCGGGGGCTCAGATTTTGCTCCTATGGAATGGGAGCAGATATACAGCTCTCCCGGGATTTGATGATAATTTAATAAATAATGCCCAGTGAGTCCGACTTTTTATCACTCCCAAATGACTTGATTTTAAAATCTTTTTTCTCAAACTGGTTTCAGAAAAGCATCTTGACACATTTTGATCTAGTTCAGTTTTATCCCTCCAGCCATGACCTTGGGCTAGTCATTTCCCCTCTCTGGGCTCCAAGTGGCCCCCAATTATACAAGAGTGTGGGACTTTGACTTGATCAGCGTTTTCCCAGTGCCTGCTGAGTCCTGGCTCCCTGCACAGTGTGACCTGGCTGAGCCCTGTTATGACCCAAGGATGAGGAGACACCATTGTCTCTACATTTGGTGCAAGAGGAAATTGCAGCTCAGGCTCCAGGATGTTAAGTGGATGACGTCACCCACCTAGAGGGTGACGAGCCCTTGTTGTCCCTCAGGGCCTGACCTCAGAGTCCATGAGCTCTCCCAAGGGGAGCTGGCCACCCCTAGTGCACACTTGCTAAGCCTGGCTCTCTCTGGAACGCTATGGTTGAGGCTGGGCCTTCTGTCTGCATCTATAAATGGGGATAGCCCAGATCATGAAGGAAGGGCCTCAGGTGTGAACCACAGGCTGGCTCAGAGGTGCCCAGCCTGTCCTGTTCAGCGAAGGGATGCAGGATGTATTTCTGAGCCAGTTTTGGAGCAGGAGCTACATGTTAGGGCATCATACTGTCCTTGAATCCTTCTGAAAGGGGTGTTGTTTACCCAAAGTGACCTCCAAACTGTGTTATCAAGCCCAACAGGATGCTGGTGGACAGGGAGGGCATGAGTCACTTTTTTCTGGGGCCACACATGCCAAGTCTGCGTGTAAGACAGGAATCCTTGGTCACACTTGACCTAAAGAAGCCCTCAGAGCAGTGGCCTGGATCCTCTGGAGGACTTTATACAGCCTGGCTTGGGGACAGGGTGGTTGGCTTGTGTCCTGGACTGCTGTTGGAAATAGCACACGTTTTTAAGCACCTGGCCCATCAGAACAGTGAGGTGCTCACACTGATAGCTTGTGGGAACCAGAAAGGACCAGGGAGGTGCAGGCATCCTGGGAGCGGGTCAGTGTCACCATTCTACCCCCTGCCCATCCTTCCCGCCCCTCCTTGTTTCCTTGTTTTGTAAACCTGTGATTTGGTTTGTGCAGGTCTGATAGCTGTGAAAGCTAGCCTGCTGTGCTGTGTTTTAACCTAACAGCCATTAATGGTCCCACTTTGATCCCCCTTCAGATGCTGGAGTGAGTTCTGATCTTACACCAGAAATGTCTTATGTTGTCCCTTTCTCTCGTTAATCTTGTCTTTCTGACCCCTTCCACCACCACACCAGAATGTTATCCTAACATATTTTGTACTTGGTAATACTTACACTCACTCATCAACTTTTTAAAAAAGAATATAAACTCAAACTTACTTTGTTCACTTCTGATGTGGTTTCAAGTGTGAGCAAATAGTCAGGAATGAGTTGTGATTATTATTAGCATGTAAGTATATTGGAACTGTAAAATTGCAGTTACTGGACGTAAAGTTTGGTGTGGCACATGTGTGTCATTAGGATGGGTCCAGACCTGTCAGGACCCCAGTGACCCTTGGTGTCTGGGCTCCAGGTGATGTTCAGACACCGCTAGTGTGGCTGTGCTTCTGCAGCCCTCCAGAGCACCCCATTCCAGCCTCCACCTGCCACATCGGTGCTTTTCCATCTGTCCCCATTTTCACAGTGGCCATTTCTCTTGGTTTTCATCCTGTCTAGAGCACACCATGGCCACCCCCCTGGAGGATGTTGGCAAGCAGGTGGGTATGTCCCGTCTGCTGCCCTTGGCCCCAGAGGGTCTCTCCAGAGCTTCCTGTCACCTCTTCTCCATCCTCTCCCCTCCAGGTGTGGCAGGGGGCCCTGTTCCTGGCAGACTATATCCTGTTCCGGCGGGACCTGTTCCAGGGACGCACTGTGCTAGAGCTCGGGGCAGGCACAGGGTTCGCCAGCATCGTGGCAGCCACCATGGCTCAGACTGTGTATTGTACAGGTAATGAGGCAATGACCCAGACTGGGGGAGGGGTCTTCACAGAGCATACAGACTGTAAAACGTGAGGCAGGGGCACTGGGCATGGGACACGGTACTTTTGACTTCCCATCCTGCTCCCCTAGTTCTTCCCATGCACTCTTCTTTCTTGATGATGTCACAGTGGCCACAATACCTCATCAGTGGCCACAGACCACTGAGCATCAGAAGTGTCCAACACTCCGTCTCCACTCACACCCAAGAAAGAGCAAACATCCCAGGAAATCATTGAGGGTATTCCCTTTCATAAGGCCTCCAGAGAAGGTTTATCACTTCTTCCTGGTTACAGAAGTTTTGCCTGTTCTTTGAGAAGTTTATAAAAAAGCAAATAGGCCGGGGATTTAGCTCAGTGGTTTCACCACCTGCTGCGCAAGCACAAGGACCCAAGTTCGATGATCCCCAGTACAAAAAAAAAATTACTTGTAATTTTACAATCCCCAGATTTATTCATCATTATGTCATTTGTTCAGCACCAACTTTGTACCCAAGACACCTCTAGGTGCAGGAGATCCATGCCACTGGCCCCCGGGTACTGCATTTTAGAATCCGTTTTACCTCTTTCTATAGACATTATAATCTTTTTCCTTTGTATGTGCATCATCCCAAAGAATGGCCAAAACAAAACTACACACAGTGCAAAGTGTTGAAAGACATTTTTTCCAAGAGCATTTTCCCATGTCATTAAAAATTGCCTGGCCCATCAGCATATGACCTAATGGCCAGCTAATTTGAGGTTCCTTTCTTTTTGGTGGCACTGAGGATCAAACCCAGGGCCTTGCATGTGCTAATCAAGCCCTCTTACCAGTGAGCTTCACTCCCAGGCCCTGGATCCTTTTGTTTTTTTAACCTTTCTGTTGTTGAAGATCTTACCCAACCATGTGCAGCGATCAGAACCAACAAATTGACACAGGTGAGATGCTGTTAATGGAACTGAAAGTGCATACCGGTCTGTGAGAGAGCAGCAGTCTCCTCAGATGAGCAGTGTGATGATATTTTAAATCTTTCACATCTGCTAGGCAGAGAGGTATCCGCTGTTGTGGATTGTATTTGATTCCTAGTGACCATTTCATGGTGCTGACTTTGCTTCTAAGATAGGAAGGAGGAAACTGGGTGTCCTGTAAGGTGACCACTAGCCTAGAAGCCACACTAAGTGATGTCCTTGACTATCCTTAACCATATCATGTAAGTTACCGGTGAGCTCTTCTCAGAGTCAAGCCATAATGGAACAGCTCAGAGCTTTGCTCAGTGTCTGGTACATAATAGCAGGGCACAATCAGCTTATCCTTGAGAGGGAGATTTACCAGCATAGAGAAGTCGCATTTAGATGGTAATGGTACATTATGGTTAGCATCAGCGCTCTCACATGCAACTTCACAGTAGCCCTGGACAGTAGCCAGGGAGCCTTTCACCACCCCTTTGTACAGATGGACAGACTGAGGCTAAGGTTCAGTGGCTGGTCCCAGTTCCTGCTTGAGCTGCTGCTGAGGCCTGAGACCCTTGGCGGGACCTAGTAACGCACAGTGCAGTTTTTGGTTACATGGGTGCTTTTCAGGCCATCCCATGGAGCAGCGTTCAGTGAGCTCTCTCAGACTGGCAAAGGGATAAATGGGCTTTTTCAGGGCTCTGGGTCTCCTACTCCCTCAGCCATAGCTACTTCTCTCACCTGTTGCATGTATTCAAATCCTTTGTAAGATTTCTTGTAACAAAAACTGCCATACAGATTTTAAAATAGGGAGGCTGGGAATGGTTCTCCCAGCTTAGCATGCTTAGCATCCTTAGCATCCTTAGCGTGCTTAGCAGGGTTGGATCCCAGCACCCAACTTAAAAAAGAAAAAGATTTCAAAACTTAAACCTGTCATACAACATCCCCTTTACCTGGTGGTGCAGGAGAAGCCCTAGGCCACCTGATCCCAGGCTCTTTGTGATCCCTGGATACTGAATTAGTCAGGTTTCCTGTTCCTGGGATAAAATAACTGACACTTACAACATAAAGGAGGAGAGGCTTCATTTGGCTCATGATTCCGGGATTTCAGTCCCTGATTGGCTGGTTCTAAGGCAGAAATGTCATGGAGAAGGACATGGCAGAGGAAAGCTGCTCACCTCATGGCAGCCAGGAAGCAGAGAGAAGGGAGAAGCTGGGGAGAGAGGCATTTCCTCCAAAGGTTCGCCCTCAGTGACACACCCTTTCCAACCAGGCCCCACCCCCGAATGGCACATTCAGCTAAGAACCCCTAGTGGATTTACCCACTGGTGACAATAGCGCCCCCATGGTCCAAGTACCTTTTAAAGCTCCCACCTCTGAACACAGGAGACTTTGAGGGGACCTTCTAGTTCTGGACCATAAGACATACACATGGTGTAGTCCCTGGGGAGTATGCAATGATTAGGGTAGAGGTGACTGCACCCATGATAGACCAAGCAGATGTCATTTACAAGACGTTCTGTACCTTCACGTGTACATTCTCCTGAGTGAAAGTTAACTCTTACCAAAGCACTCTTTCTCTGTGAAAATCTCCTGTACTACAAATCAGTGAAACGATGAGATATCCTGCCTCATCTGAGTAGCCAGAGATACTGGTGGTAGCAGGCAGTGAATGACCAGCAGAGAGAGGGCCTCGGCGTGTTTGAATCTGCTCTGCATCTCAGTCCTATTGGACACCCTTCTCTAGTCCTTGCTCGGGGTGTCAGACAAGGAGCCTAAATTTGGAGCCAGAGGGCCCCAGTTCAGATCACAGCTCTGGCTGTCCCTGGTGGCGGACTTGCCCAAGGGCTCAGCCTGTGACATGGGAACCCTGATACTGGCTCCCAAGGTGTCTGCACAAGGCATTTTTCATATACATACTTGACAAATGTCGTTCTCTTCTGCCTTCCAGAATGCAATCTGTCCCCACCAGGATGAGAAGCTCACATCTTGTGGGGGCCAGGGGGATCACTGAAAAGAGCCTGTGGCGCGCGGATTTATTTGGGGCTCTAGAACTCATAAGGAGAGGCATGGCTGTGGTCTCTGCAGTCCTGCTGTTGGTAGGAGCTCTCCAGGCAGAAGCCTGGAGACAAAAGTGTACTAACTGCCAGCACATCCTGGCGTGCCCTGTCGTTCCAGATGTCGGTGCAGACCTCCTGGCCATGTGCCAGCAAAACATTGCCCTCAACACCCACCTGGCTGCCGCTGGAGGTGAGGCCCAGCAGGAAGGGAGGTTTCTGTTCGGCAGGCAGGAGAAGCGACCGAGATGGTGACCTTGGCTGGTGGGATTTCACCTTCCCTTTGCCCCAGGTGAATGGAGGGGCCAGGTGCTGTCTTGGCTTCATGTCGCCTCACAACTGATCCGCGCTGGGGTCAGCGCCCCACTCCCACCACCACATCCCCCTGCAGCTCCCCCTGCTCTGGAGGTTGGCAGTGTCTCCCTGCTCCCCAGCTGGTTTTTCCAGCTCCCGATGTGCCCTGCCAGGCGGTCTTCCATGCAGCATCCAGAGTGGTCTTTCTGAGATGCAGGCCTCCACTCCGCCCCGAAAACCTGCCCAGGACCAGTGCCCAGGCGAGGCACACAGCCTCTTCCTTGGCTTTTCACACCTCCTCGGCCTGACCGCTGCCTGCCTCCATGCCACTTCTCCTGACAGCGGGCCAGGGATTCCTGTCACCAGCTCTGCCCTCCCTCAGTGTCCACATCCCCTGCCTGACCGTCCAGCCCCTGCACAGCTCGTGGGAATGGGTTTAAATGGGCGAGGACAGTGGAGACCTCCTGCCTGGACTGCCCTGTGGACTTTCTCCTCGCAGGAACCAGCCCTGCGGATTCAGGCCCCTCCGCAGTTTCCTATTGCTCTCAGCATTGGGACCAAGCTCCTTGCTCACCTATTGTCTACAAGTCCTGGCTCTTGTCCCCTGTGCTTCTCTCTCCACTCACAGCCCCTTCCTTAGGTCTCTGCACTTGCTGCTCCTCCACGTGGAGCTCTTCCCTCCCAGAGTTCCTCCCAGGTCTTCAGCACATGCTGATGACATTGCATTTTAACATCTGCGCACATGGCCCACTAACTGGTGTCTGCCCTCCCCACTCTGGCAATGCCATTCAATGTGCAGTGTGCAGGAGGCATCAGTGAAGACGGGAGGTGCAACCATGAGCTATGCAAGGGCCCTCAACAGCCCCTGACCTGACACGGAGTCCTCTCTCCTTCAGCATTGGCACTTCCCGTCAGCCTTGCCCCAACCGTGCAGTCTCGTAGCGTCTGTTATCTTGCCAGTCACCCCTTCTGTGGCGGAAACCAGGACTCGGATGTTTATGTTCCGTGTCCGGCAGTCACTGACACTTAGCACTCACAGCAGGCAGTGAGGGTGGGCTGATGGGTGAATGGTGAGCTAGAAGGGCAGGTGGCTAGACCTTGGTGGAGTGTAAAGGTTTATTTTCCTGCATACGTGGAGAGTTTGGGAGTTCTGTTCATTTTCGCTTTTGCAGGTGGTGTAGTGAAGGTCAGGGAGCTGGACTGGCTAAAGGACAAGCTCTGCACCGGTGTGTTCCTCCCTGAGTCACCTTTACTTAGCGGCTTCTCTGTGATGTCCCCGGGTCTCAGCTGTGTGGCCTTGATTAAGCAGCGGAGCCCTGGCTGCCACCACCGTCCCACCAGCTCCTGGCAGGCTCCCTCCCAGGGCCAGTGAGTGACAGCTGGTCTTCACCAAGCACCAACCCCTCGACAGCGCCTCGCATTATGTTGCTGTTCAGACCTCAGGGTCACTGCGGTGGGCTTGATACAGCCTGAAGTAGTTGTGGGCACCAGCTGGTCCTTAGCAGGGTCAGGCTGTGACCGCAAGTGTGTGCTCAGGCACACACCGTTGCCTAGCAGATGGTGATACCAGGAAGCTCCTTGGGTGGAAAAGGTTCCTAAATCTCTGCTGCAGACCGCTTCCGAGCTGGGTGCCTGCTCTGCAGAGAGGCAGCCTTCCTTCTCCCTGCCAGAGGCGGGTGAAGAAAACATGGCTCGAGTGCTGTCCCTGGCCACGCACTCCACATACTCCAGTTCTTTCACCTTCCCAGCAGTCCTCTGAGGGAAGTAATATTAGGCCCCTTTTTTTTTGTTTTGTTTGTTGCTGGCTTTGTGTTTTGAGCCAGGGTCTTGCTTAGTTCACTTTGTAGCCCAGGCTGTTCTTAGATTCAAGGCAATCCTCCTGCCTCAGCCTCCCAGGTGCTGGGGTTACAGGCATCCACTACCATGCCTGTTTTTTCGTTTTTGTTTTTGTTTTTCAATGTTGCTAAGGATGGAACCAAGGGCCTCTTGCATGCTAGGCAGCATTCTACCGCTGAGCAACACCTCAAGCCCTGAGGCCCTTTCTATAAGCACAAAAGCTGAAGCCCAGATAGGTATAGCGAGTGTTTGGGGGTCACCCAGCAAGTAAGTGGGGCAGGAGAGATGTGGACAGCATGTTCTCACACGGCTGCTGGCCAGGGCAGGGGGGAGGCCGGAATCTTGGAGTGGGGCAGTCCTTACACTGTGGCTGTCCCCACCGTCAGCTGTGTCCCTGACGCCAGCATCCTGGACAAAGGCCTGCCTGGCAGGGTGCGCGGAGCAAAGCTGCCTCCAACCCTGTCTGCCATCCTGAAACTTCTTTGGGTCAGTCTCAGGGAGAGCTGGTGGCCAGCAGAGAAAGGACAGGGCCACAGCGTCCTTTCTTTGCAGATCCTGAGGTCCCCTTTAGTTGGTCGGAAGAGGACATCTCTGACCTGTATGACCACACCACCGTGCTGTTCGCAGCCGAAGGTAAGGCAGTCTCCAGGGTCTCGTGCATCCTCTCCTGACCGGGTGCAGTTCAGGGTTCCCTTGCTCCACTGAGCCTCTGCTGCCTAGGAACGCCCTCCCGGAACAGCCTGCCCCAGCCGCCACTGTTTGTGGGGCCGGAGTCCTCTCCTTGGCATCCGGAGGGCCCTCTGAGCAGATCGCTCTGACACTGGTGTGTTTTCTTCCTCAGTGTTCTACGATGACGACCTGACCGACGCCCTGTTCCGCACGCTGTGCCAGCTCAGCCGCAGGCTGAAGAACGCCTGCACGGCCCTGCTCTCGGTGGAGAAGAGGTGAGCTGGGCCGCAGCCTCGTGCCACCATTCCCCGGGCGCCAGGGGGCTCTTGCCCCTTAGCCTGCCACCTCTTCACATCCACGCTACACGCTGTGAGCAGCACTTCCCAGAGGAAGCTGCGAGATGCTGGCCTGTCTGGGCCACGGCCAGGTGGTGGCAGATGAGGACGTGACTTCTGGGAGGCCACCGCTGTCAGCCTCGGCACACACTGGCCGTCTAGAGGCCAAGGCCATTTGGGGCCACTGTGGGCATCACCCACATTTCGTTTTCCTTCAGGAAAAAATCAACTTTTCTGTGTTCCTTTTCCTTCACAAAGGCTAAAAATGAAACTGAAAGGGCTAGTAACAAAAACTAGGAACTGAGTATATCTCTGGAGGAGCATTTTCCTGTGAGCCAACCCTGCCCGTCTTGGTAAGGTCGCGTGCTGAATGTCACTTTACTTCAGCTCCACCTCTTCTGTGCTAGATTTTTGCTCAAAGCCAAACATTCTCACCTGTGCACTGCAGCAGGGTTTGTACTGAGGACACTAAAGACTTCATAGCCACATAGGGGTCCTGATTTTACAGACCACAAAGGCCAGAATTAGGACAGGAAAAGCTGAACAATACGTACATGACGTTAAAAAATTACTGTTAAATTTGTCTTGGGTGAAGAGTCTGCCTTTTGGGGATACGCGCTGATGTACTCGGGAATACTGGGATGTCTGATGTGACGTGTTCACAAGGCCTTGGGAAGGGCAGAGTGACAGTGGCTGATGCCAGGTGATGAGTGCATGGCAGTTTATTTACTGTTCCTGCTGCTTGTGCATGTTCAAACTTTTTCATAAGAAAAGAGTGAGGGAGGAAAAGGGAAAGGCAAGGGGCTTGAATTTCAAGTGGAATTGCCTCGCAGATTCTGGGGTTGAAAGGCATAAAAGTCGGAGTGGAGACACAGTTCCGCAGTTGCCCTCAAGCTCTGTCGTCTCCACAGCCCCCCCCCCCCCGGCTTCCTAGCAATGTGTCCTCTGCTGTGCTCTTAGCAGGCTGTGCACCTCCGCCTCCATCGTTTAGCCCACACACCATTCTGAGACAACTCCACGGAGGTTCTGTGCCAGTGGAGCAGCCTGCAGGAGCACAGAGAAGCCTGTGCAAGTCTGGCCTCATGCCAATTTGCAGCTCTGCAGAGGCAGGGACTGTGTTTATCTTTCTGTGGGCGTAACCAGCTTTCTGAGCCTCAGCTTCCACATCTAGAAAGTGGGTGTAGCCATTTGGCACCTCCCACACTGTTCTACAGAGTCAAGAAGTAATTGGCTCAAATGCTTCGCAAGTATGTGGCAGGCACTGAGTGAACGTCTATCCACAGGAAACGAGATTGTGAGGAACAGGTAGCAAGCTGGGAGGAAACCGGCACTTCCCAGGAGTGACAGCAGTTTGTGTGTCTACTGGTTGGTTCACAGGTTCAACTTCACACTGAGACACCTGGACGTCACGTGTGAAGCCTACGATCACTTCCGCTCCTCCCTGCATGCACTAGAGAAGCTGTCGGACGGCAAGCTGCGCTTTGTGGTAGAGCCAGTTGAGGCCTCCTTCCCGCAGCTGCTCATTTATGAGCGCATCCAGCACCTGGTAGGTCCTCCTGGCAGGGTCCTGTGGGTTGCTCTGGCAGGAAGCTGCTGCCTCTGGGTAGAATAGGTGATGAGCCAGGACCCCCACACTCAGGCCATGCCCGGCCCTTACCCACTGTCAGCAGTGACCACGTCCAGAGGGCCTGAGGGAGGGCACACCCTGAATACCAACTCTATTCACAACTTCCCTGCAGGTAGTTCAGACGTCAGAGGAAGCAGGAGAATAGCAGATTTCTTAGGGAATGGGAAGCCAGTGGAGGGGAGCTGCAATGGGCTGCAGGACCTACTGCAGGCTCCTGTGTGGAGCCTGGTGGTCATACCGGCACTGTGGAAACAGACCGGAAGGCTTGTGTGATCACCCTCGCCTTTGTGACCCTGCCACAGTAGGATCCCCCATAGCAGGCCTCTCAGTAGTCATCCTAGATTGCTAGCTGACACATGCCAGGCACCACGCCAAGCAAAGCACCTTTTGCCCACTGTTGCTGAGTGCTCCTGGCAACAGCCGAGACAAGATGCATCTTCCAGCCAGGAAGTGGCAGGGTGCAGTTCCTTCTACAGCCACATCACTTCCTATTGTAACTTGAGCCAGCATTTAGGAAATATTTGAAAAGTCAGAATTATCCTCAAAATCACCACGAACCAGATTCATAGGAGTCCAAGGAGGCGCAGTTAACTTCTTTTGTTCGCTTTGTCTTTTTTGGCCTCTTTCTCTGGGTCCATGGTGGTTAAGACACCTGCAGAATGGAGAGACAATGATGCCTTGCTGCCGTTCCTCTGGCCCCTTTAATTGTGTGATATCCCGTCTCCCCCTTCAGCTAATGCTAGACTCTATCCACGAAGCCTCTCTGTCACTGTGAAACAGAAAGAACAGCCCAGAGCCTCGAAGGATGCAGGAAACTCCTCTCCTGCACTAACTCTGCTGCCCTGGCTTGCCTGTGCTCTGAGTGTCCGCTTTGGCTAGTTGTAGTTGCTCCCTCTTCTGGAACTGTGAGGATCCCTGTGCACCTCAGAAGCCTGTCCTTCCTCTATTGCAGGAGCTCTGGAAGATCATTGCAGAACCAATAACGTGACCCGTCGACTTCATGACATACCGGTGGCCTCTTGACTGTTCGCATAATATATATTTCTAATAAAGTCAGAAGTTAGCAAAGTCTTGCACTTTCATTGAGGCACTGTCATTTCAAAAGCATGGTAAGTGTTTGCCTTCTGTGGCCCAAAATGGTTTTCTGGAGCCTGTCCCTGTCTCCCAGCAGCAGCCAGAGAGCAGTACTGCTCTGGGCTGGGAGTCCACTTAGTGGCCTATGTGTCCCATGCCTCTGACTCGGTGCCCAGCGTCCTTCAGGCACGGCTTGGTCAAGCTGAATGAATGCTCCCAACTTGATTCCACTGCAGCCGGTTATTTCTTCGTGAGCTTCCCCCAGGGGCCAGGGCTGTGCAGGAAGTTTTCAGGCCTCCTCCGCTGTTTACGGATGTCTTTAATACTCTTGCCACAATTGCTGTCATAACTACTTGGCACAAAAGTCTCACTTCCTTCCGAAACAGTATGTGCTCATCCCTGTCCCTCCAGTGAGGGCCCTGTGCCAAAGAGTAGGCTGAACTAGCAAGTGGCTTTCTGTTTTTCAATTTTAATCCTTCATAACTAAAATCAGGTGTGCTTAGGCAAAACATGAGAGCCCCTGTCCTGGCCCAGGCAGCTGACACGGGTCCCTGCACTAATCCACCTCACAGGTGTTTCCCCTCAGCCAGACTCACTCCCTTCCCTAGAGCCTCCCTCTCTGTCTTGAGTCACACGCACATGCCTGTCTGCCTGTCTTCTCACATCTGTCTTTGCCTGTGTCTCCCCTTCCCCATCTCTCCCTGTCGCCTCCGTGTCACTGACCTACTCTTGTCTTCCTTCCAGTCTCAACCCCTTCTTCCTGCCACCGCTGGCCCTGCCCACCTCGCTCCTGCTGCCTGCTGTCACCAGGGCCCGCCCAGGCCCCCGTCCACCGGCACTCAGAGCCCTGGTCACCCGCACTGTCCCATCCCCATGTCCCTGCCCACACTCACCTCTCCCCAGACACCCAGGTCCGTTTCCCTAGTCATTATGTTATCCTCGTGTGTGGGACCAAGCATTTGCAAGACTTAAGCTCATTGTATCTTTCCAATAAATCTAGGAGGTTAGCAGTGCAGCTGTACTCATTTTACAGTTGAGAAAATTAAGGCTCCAAAAGAAAACAAATCTCCTTGGGGTCAGGGACCTTGTTTGTCTGAAGCATCACCATACAACTGGCATATCATCTGGCACAAAGTAGGTACAAATTATTAATCTATCGATTAGAACAATTATGGGTGGTTTTGTCTCCAGGGGCATCGGACAGTGTCCGGAGACATTTCTGGTTGTTACTAGTAGGGGAGACAGAAGTGCTCCTGGCGTCCAGTGGGTGCGGACAGGATGCTGCTAAACCCCACAGAAGAGAATGATCCAACCCAAAGTGTCAGTGTCAAGAATGCCAAGGGAGGCCCGGGGATTTGGCTCAGTGGTTTCGCCGCCTGCTGCGCAAGTGCAAGGACCCGAGTTCAATCCCCGGTACCAAAAAAAAAAAAGAATGCCAACAGAGAGAAACCTTGGCTAGGGACAGAGCCAGCTATTGGAGGAAAGAAAAATGGTTCTCAGCTGAAGCTGTGATGCTGGAATACAGAGTGTGTCTCACCTGCCCACCCCCGGAGGGGGAGGAGTGGAAGGAAACCCACATTCATTCACCATCACTAAGTCCTGTAACAATCCCAAAGGCAGGGTGAGCCCCACTTTACACATGAGGAATAGGAAGGTCAGAGAGGCAGCATGACTGCCCAATACCACACAGCTGCCAGAGCAGAGTCAGGCTTGGAGTCCAGACCTGACTGACTTCCCACGTCTCCCCATTGTGCTGCTGACCAGCAGCAGCACCCACAGTCTCCCGGGGTCAACACCGGGCCGCACCCAGGGCCCTCCTGAGTCAGAACTCTGACTCTGACCAGACCCTAGCTGTCCTTCCAGAAGCACTGGGATTGACAGCACAGCCCTGGCCCTATTCCTGTTTTCTAAAATTCCTACAAAAACCCCTCTCTGGCAGACATGCTGTCATGAAGCAGGGCTGTAGGTCACATGGCGATGCATTAATAATGAGTCTAAAACACAATCCTGCTAGACAGGACCCCCAGCTGGTCATGTCTCAGCACAAACAGTGACATTTTCCCAGCACTCCTGGGGACAAGCCCATAAATGTAATTGGCACCAGGCAATACAGTTGTCACCACTCTCACCTGGCGCATTAGGGCAAGCTGCTTTTATGTCTAACCACTCGGCCTGAAAGCTTCCTCTGAGTGGAGCCCGGAATTAATCTTGATCCTCCATAACTCAAAGTATCATCAGATGTTCACTTCAGAGCTGAAGTGTGCCCTTATCACCATGTTTCACGGCCTCACTTGAGCGTTTGCAAGTGCTTGTTTGTCGGTGATATTTCAGAAGCATCAAACCATCAAGATGCTCCTCTGGATAATTAACCCAGCCATTGGACTCAATTTTCTTTTTGACACATTCTGGCATTTTCAGGGAAATATACGGCCCAAGGAGGAGACGTGGCTGTTCAGCTGTAACCTGCATAGAAAAGATTTGTTTAAACCAACAAATACTGATGCTGTCACCCCCAGGACTTCTCACACTTCTGCACGTGAGTCACTTGGGGACGTGACAGCATGCAGATCTGACTCAGGTCCCAAGGGGCTGGCTGCTGCAGTTGAACACATGCACCATGCTGGTCCCAGGGCCAGCGTGTCACTCATAGTTAAGGCTGCCAACCGAATTGGGCAGACCCGGGTTCAAATCCTGTCACCTCTCTGTACCCCATTTCCTTACCTGTCAAACAGTAAGACTCCTTTTTTTACAGCGTGTCAATGAAGATTGTTCTGGATGATCCCTGTGAGGTTCTCTGAGTTGCATCTGGCCCTGGGGATGTTTCCAGCAGCTTGCAGATACTGTCCTACTGCAGAGATGTTCAGTGTGGGAGCATTTTCTACACGCACACCCTTGGCCTGTGTGATCCTGAGGTTTGCTGGTCTAGCTTAATTGCCTGCTGGAGAAATCACTGTGAGCAGTCTCTCCCCATCTCTATAAATAAAATGGATCCTACTTTTTACCCTGTCCTGAAGGAATTTCTGGGAAAGAACAAATTTGAAAAGTCAAATTGAACAGCCCTGACTTCAATATCAGGCTCTGTTATTGTACACAAAAGTCACTCTGGAGGACCCAGGAGGCCCTCAGAGAAACAGGCAAGTCATTCTCCACTCCACTAACCCCAGCATTCAACAGACGCCTGGTGACTGCCAGTCGGCAGAGGTAACGACCTCAGAGTCTGTTCTTCAGATCAGATCTGGGTAACAGCGGGATGTGTCTGCTGCGTGCTGTGAAGCCCTCATGTGGAGCTGACTTAGACCAGAGGACTTGAGGGTGACAGGCATCGGCCCCCAGCAGCCATGATATAAACAGTGGTAGGTAACCACCTGGCTGCTTCCGTGCCCAGTGACCCACCTGCTTCTTGGCTGTCAGCTGCAGCAGCCACATGAACCCCCACTGGTACAGGGAAAGACAAAAGCTGTGGGCCTGGGAGCTGATCCTCCCAGTAGGGTGATGCTGCTGTGTCTCCTGTCTGCATCCTTCTGGATGCGAAGTCACTGTGATGTGAGAGCAGAGACTGTTTCATCTGGGGACCCAGCTCCACTCCTTGGCCAGTGCACACACTGAGCAGAGGCTGGCGCTCCAGACATTGGAAGCAGGTGGTGGATGCAGCCTGCCTGGGGAACCAACCTCCAGCTGGGGAACCTTCCCAGGTGGCTCAGTACAGCAGCCCAAAGCAGGTACCAGTCCCCTTTGCTTCTCAGCATTACCCAGTGATTCTGTCCAGCCACACTGGGCAGCCAGCTAGTAGTTTTTAAATCTACAGGTAGTTACTGATCTCATTTCTCATCTCTCGACAAAGAGATGGATACGTCGACCTGATGGCTTTGTAAATTTCAAAACCCACAAAGGGTGGTACTAAGTGTTAAATCTAAAACAAAAGTGTCGTGGGAGACAGCATCTGGAGGGCCGATGACACAGGCAGTAAACGAATTTATCAAGACCAGAGCAAGGAAAGAGCAGATTTATCAAATCCACCACAAGAAATAGCAGGCAAGTTCCCAGAGAGAGGGTCGCTGCTGGGGAAGGCAAGTCTTTATAAGGGTTTCTTGGTTTTGAACAAGTTACAGATAAGGCATGCGGGCATGGGAAGACTACGTTAGGAGGATGAGGTAGGTAGGGCCATGTGAGTTTGGTCTCCTCCGGGTAGTGCTGTGTGTCACCCTTACAGTAAGACTTGGCATGGGCCAGGGGTAATGTAACACACTCATTACCAGAAAGAATGTTAATGGCTGTTTTGCTGTAAGCTGCTGAAGCTGCTTATTTTGAAGCAGAATATGTAACTCTCCTGTAAAGCCAAATGGAGGTTAAAACAGCTTCTCTCTGGTTCCTTAGCATTCCACAGATGGGGGCAGGTTAATACCTCAGACTGAAAAGATGCCCATGGGTTTGGGTAATGACTGGTGCCCTGGGCTCTGAGGGCCAACCTGATGACCTCTTTCTCCACAGGGGCCCTGACTCTTTTCAGACCAGTCTGGCATTCAGGAAGTGTGGGTTCTGCATTGCTAGGAAATGACTGAATGCAGGGCGTATAAGAAGTGAGGGAAGAGACGTTAACCACCCACAGTGGTTAAAGGCAGTGGAACTAGACAAAGCCAAATGAAATGCAGTATACAAACATATTAATAAGTAAATCAATCTCTTCACTGATATATGCCTGTTCGAAGTGGGTCTTGAATTAGATTCCCACAGGAAGGACTTAGAGATTTTAAATGGCAGAGTTGTGATGATTAAAATGCAGCTTCCTTCTGAAACTGCTATAGGTGGTAAAGTCTTAATTAGCTAGAACACAGTTAATTAATCCTGCTTCCCCACCACTAAGGCTCAGGCCACTCAAGGTGAGCAAGGCTAAGGCCTTAGGTATGGGATCGTTAGCACACTGTCCCTGTCCCATATGTTGAACACCCGAGCCAGGAAGACCTACATGGAGAAGGGTGGCAGAGCCCTGGGCAGCAGCATGTTCGTGTCGTGATATTCACTAGAGTTGGGCAGTACAGCGGAGCCTTGTGAATTGATTTTCAACCCAGGAAGTGAAAGCTACTTCCATGTCTCCCTCAGTTTACAGTGAATTTCAGGGAAAGCCTGGCTTCAACGCGGCTGGAGCAGGAGACCTCGGAGGGTGTGGTGGTAACAGCAATGACAGCTGTTCTGAACAGTTTATACACATTCACTGGGAGTCACCCCACACCCGCATGAGCCCGGCAGTACTGAGCCCGTGTTGCAGATGAAGAAACTAAGGCCCAAGGTCTAGCTCATTAATGGTGAACCTATGGCTCGGTGCTGCAGCAGGCTGTTTGTATCACTGAGAGCTCTAACAGGTTCACCATCACTGGGCTAGCTAATTCTTCCAAGGTCACATACATGACCAGGGATAAGGGATAGAGCCAGGACTTGAACACCTGTGTTCAAGTCTAGCTCCAGAGTTTGAGCATCTTGCTGCTGGGCTATCTGCCAGTCTATGAAATTTGCCCTCTATGGCATAACTCATGCAGAGCACCTCTAAGACACATGGACACTTACACACCACACTCTTTTTAATTTTTGAAGACAGGGTCTTGCTATATAGCCCAGGCTGGCCTCAAACTCACAGCGATCCTCCAGCCTCAGTCTCCATAATGCTGGAATTATATCCATGCACCACCACACCTGGCAACATGCCACACTCTTGACCTTGATTAATCCTAGGGCATTGGACTAGAAAAGGAGAATTGATGGCCTTGTCCTTGATGCTATATGCATATATTTTGTTTTTACAAGCAGTGTTGCTTTAAAACCAGTGTTTTTTTTCATTGAAAATAAAGATAAAAGGGCCGGGGATTTAGTTAGTGGTTCTGCCACCTGCTTCGCAAGCATAAGGTCCTGAGTTCAATCCCAGGTACCCTAAAAAAAAAAAGGAAAATAAAGATAAAAGAAACTTTAATACATCCACACACTCCAAAAGCTACCATGTACCAAGAGACAACTGAACCCAAGTGAGTCCAACCTACCGAACTTTGAAATGTGGCTCTATAGCTCATTTATAATGATAAAATCAAAGGTTCTAGAAAGACCTAGAGAAATAGTTTGGAGGGAAAGCCAGTCCTCGGTGGGTCTGGGGCCACCAGACCCTGCATTTGACACTCCTCCGCTTGAGGCCCAGAGGACTGGAGCAGTGGTGGCAAACCTCTGGCGTGCATGCTGCAGCGGGCTGTTTATCATTGAAAGCTCTAGAAGGCTCGCCGTCACTGGCCTAGAACAAGACAGCAGGCACAGGCCCATCTGAACTTCGGGTTATCAGGTTCCCTTACCAGGAATTTGGTGTGTCCAGGCCCAGGAGAGTATGGCCACAGACTCTGCTAAAGGCTGAAGTTCCCCCCATAGATCATATCCACGTTTCCAGCCCATTCCTTTTACACAGAGAGTGCTGACAGACCTGGCAGCAGACCAAAGCTGGACCTAAGTCCAGCCACTATGAAGAGAGTGGAAGAGGGAGATTCGGACCTCCTGAGCCTTCTCTGATTAAGTAGAAGATTCTAATATACACCTGTCCTCTGTGAGGCACTGGAGAAATTAGTAATCTATATTCTCAGTAAAAATACCCTAAAACTTAGGGGCTTAAGTCAGCAAGCATTATCTCACAGTTTTGGGGTCCTGGAATCTGGACTGCACCTAATGGAGGCATCTTCCTCAAGGGCTTTCTGTAGGTCACAGGGATACCAGCTAGAGATAGAGTCCCATCTGAAGGCTCAGCTGGGGTGACCCACTTCAGGATTCCCTTTTGTGGTTCCTGCCAGGACTCAGCTCCTCACCGGCTGTGGACCAGAGACTTCTTTCACCTTCCTGTCACATGGGCCTCTGCAGTGGGTTTCTGAGAAGCCATGAGGTGACAACAGCATTATCAGAACAAGCACAAAAGGAGACTCAGAAAGGGGCAACCAGACAGGAGTCACAGTCTCTTTATAACCTAATCTCAGAAGCAACACTCCATCACATTTGTCCTGTTCAGTCCTTTAGATGCAAGTCAATAAACCCAAAAGTCACTCACTGGGGACTGACTCAGCCTGCCCACCAGAGAGGCAAAGGACACACCCTTACCGCAAGATGCCAGATCTGGGTGGGAGGTGAGCTTGCCAACAACACCATGCAGAGGTGCAGTTCTAATGCAGCTCATGGCCCATCCAGGTGCTATTCCAACCAAAAGCCATTCATCCCCTTGCACCCCCCCAACCCAGCCAGGTGTGGATCCAGGTCCATTTCTGAGGCATTTGGGGGACACAGGAAGAGGAGGAGCTAAGGGTGATGCTCAGCCTTCTACATTGGATTACTGTCCCTAAAGACATACCACTACTCTGCCAGACTGAATTCTCTTAACCTCATCTTTACCTGAACATGGTGTTTCCCAAAGCAGGGCAGGCTGTGACCCCGGAGGTACCAGGGAGGTTTCAAGTGAAGCAGTTTTAAAGTTTGTTCATCTTGTTTTCATGGCACGATGCTATTTCCAAGAATTGATCCTTTCCTCTACCCCAGCTACCTAAATTCTTGGGTTTGTATCTTAAGGACCTTTATTACCTGCCCTCCATGCCCACACCAGCAGACCAGAGGGACCAACTGCAGAACCAGTCATTGAGGCTGCAAAGATAAGGCTCCAACACAGCCACAGGCAGAATGGGGTAGGGGGCAGAGTTGTGAGGTGAGCTTGTACCCCAAGATGCTCTGCATTTGAAGAAACAGTCTGTGGGCTGGGAAATGGTGGGAGGTTCAGGAGACTCCCAAGACCCCAGCAGGAGAGCAGCTGGCAGCCCCTGTCACTACTATTGTGTGCTCTGAGTAATGCTCCTCTGTGTCCCGACGTAGCACCCGCTGGCTTGGTCCAAGCCCTATGGCTCTAACATCCCCTAGTAACTCTTCCCACAGCAAGACAGGGAAGAAGGCTCCACTGTGAGGAGGATCAGTGCCATAACAAGACCCCACACGACCCAAGGCACTCT